TATTCGTATCATTTATTTTGTTCTATTTCCCTATAAAAAAAATAACAATATAATAATATATATATATAAATAATTACTTATATTATATTATAATTAATATATTATAGTATATTATATTATATATTGCTTATTTATTATTACCTATTATGTTATAATTACTTATATTATAATTAATATAAATAATAATATATATATATATAAAATAAATATAAAATTATCAAACTTTCATGTGTACTGATTTTTGTCTCTGAATATCTTTTGAACTAAGAGCTCATATTTGGTGAGAATTGTTTTAAGGTGTCTAGCAACCCATTTTTCCGTGGCACTTGAAAAAAAAAAAATAAGTCAGTTTTTTTTCCATTAGCATTCGTTTTATGTATTTATTTAACTATTTAATCTTGTTTTCTCGGGATAGGAGAAAACACGTATAAAAGGAAAATCAGTTCGAAAGGTTGTATAAAAGAGTAACTTAAGTGTAGTATATCGTTCGGTTCCTGTTTACAAGCTTTTTCGCGAAAAATCGAAGAGAACGTTGTTTTCTATCTCTATCTATTCCTTTCGATCTCGAATCCGTAATTCAATTAATTTCATCGGGATTGCTACGGCGGCTTTCTGTTGTCCCTAGCCAGGAAACGCATCTCTCGTTACATTATTCACAGGAAGTGTGTCTGTATGTGTGTGTATGTGTGTCTATGTATATATATGTGTGTGTGTGTACCGAAGCGTAGTAGTGCGCGCGAGCTTCGAATTCCATGGACGATCGAATCTAGCCAAGGTAATCTGCCAGATGGACGATTTCTGCAGGATTGCACGCGACCTCCGACTCGAAATAATCCTACGGTGTACTAGTACGGTGGTACTAGTTTCGAGAGCGAATTAAGAACATTCTACGTTAGTAGAATTTCCTCTTGCGAGATTTTCCAAGGCGAACGTAAATTCTTTTTGTTGATTAATTTAGGCATAAAATGAAATTGAAGGAGGAAGGAAGTAAGGAAAGGAAAGAAAAGGAAAGAAAAGAAAAGAAAGTAAAGAGGTTTTAATGGATAACGAAATAGGGTTGGGTTATACGTAATGTGAAATAAGCTAATAAATAAATTCTTAACAATTGGATTATAGACTTAGATTTTTTTCGAATGAATGGAGAACATATTTGTGAAGTATTATTTCTCCTACAATTTTTAAAATGAATCGTTTATTTTTTAATTTTTTTTTTTTTTATTAATTTTAACGTAGAATGAAATTAGAGAAAATTATAAAGTATAGTGGTTAAAGAAAAATATAAAAAGATTTAATAAATTAGATAAACCCGTTCAACAAATTATTGTCTTATTTTGAGGTTTGTAATTTAGGTTGCAGTATAATTTGGTTCTCCTTCTACTTACATGTATATATATGTATATATATTTATAGATATAGGCATGGAATAGAGGTCAGTTCCTCAGCGATATCAAGAGGAACGTTTTGGTCTGTGAAACGGAACCACAAGTGCTTCCTGAGTCCTGACCCTAACCTCGTGGTTAGTTCTCTAGATAACTCACTAGCTAACGTTACTATGTGAATGTCACATCTCGAATACGTCGACGGTAGCCTTGATTCCCTCGAGAATCTCTTTCTCTTTCACTAATACAATTCTAATCTAAGCGATGAGAGAAAATCAAGGGAATTTGATTAGTCCTTCGATTAACTTCAGGAGAATAGTGACACAGGGGGTATATATAATATAGTTACTCTTAGTTCATATAATTTTCATCATTTTTCTTGAATACTTTTTCTTTTTTGTAGGAGGGGTAGGAAAGGGGAAGCGAAAGGGAGTACATTGACACCGTCGAAAAGTACACCGCTCCTAGAATATTCTTACGAAGGTGAGGGTCACGAGAGTTGATTAATCTCTACAATATTTAAGGAGCATACCAAGCAAAAAACCTTTCGGGTCGAGCTTTACGTAGATAGCTTCCTCCCTGGCATAAATCCCTCCGGTTAATCCCCTGTTTGCATCAGGTCGATCTACTCTCTCTCTCTCTCTCTGGACCAACCCATTTTCTCCTACTTTCCACTCCCTCTTTTTCTACTTACTAAAGAAAAAATGAAAGATGTTGGGATGGGTGGGGATCGGTTAGGTAGTAAGACAAGCACGTTCCAAGGATCATAAGGAACAGTTAATTGCGTTACTAATAACGCAGGACAAAGATAAAGATAATTTATTGTACTCCTATAGTTAACTTTTGTCATTCGATAGATTAGAGATTAGTCGATAATATGTACACTATTAATTATATGATGGAAAGGAAAAGTGTACCTTCTTTATATTAATTTACTTTTTCTTATCTATGGGAAAGATGTGCAATATATTTGTTAAAGATTTAATATTTATTACGTATTATGATGATGAATTTGTTTTTCTTAAAGTTCATAAATTTTTCGCAACAAATATAATAATGCAATTTATTATATGATTGATTTTCTTTGATAATTAGACTTTTATGCATCGAGTACAAATAAGTATACAATAATTGCTGTTAGTTTTAATGGTAATAATAATAAAAAAAGAAATAAGAAATTGTAATTTTGTTAAAGATTAGTAATCGAAATTTATTATATTATATGATTTATTTTCTTTGAAAATAAGCCTTTTATGTACCGAGTACAAATAATTATACAATAATTGCCGTTAGTTTTGATGGTAATAGTAATAAAAAAAGAAATAAGGAATTGTAATTTTGTTAAAGATTAGCAATTGAATTGGCAAATGGTACAAATAAGTATCCGTAAAGAGAGTTGGTAGATTTATCGTTAAATCGTTGATTCGTTCGTTCGTTCGTTCGTTTGTTCGTCCGTTCGCTCGTTCATTCGTTCGTTGAAAAACTATGAAAAGTAATAGTTTACTTTTACTGAACTCGATTTGAAGCTTTACGCCGGGGTTGTTCGAGTAGTGTATTATAGCTAAGAGCAAGTGGAATTCTACTTGCATTTCCTCGAGACTACCATAGTTCCTTCGATTTACCGAACGAGCTTCAGGCTCGTGGGATTTCGCCAGGCTTTAAAGCGAGAGACCTACAGCCCGAGCAAAACATAGTCATGAGAATTACTTGCAATGTTACGCTTTGACTGCGCTACAAATACCCTCGTTTTTCTCTTTTCCCTTTTCTCTTATTATTCTTTTCTCTTCTTTCCACATTTTAAAGTGCTTTAAGCTTTCAATTCACCTTTGACTCAGATAAATTATTCCAAGAAATTCCCGAAAACAAATATATTACTATCTTTTTAACTTTTATTGCATATACATTGAAATATTGACCAACCTTTTTTGTGACGATTGATACTTATTCCTTGACCATCTTCTCGTTTCCAACTTAATTTTGGCGTTGGATATCCGTCAGCTTTACACGTCAATGTGATGTTTTGATTTTCTCGTACAGCCACTGTACTCTCTGTCGATAACGAGTCTAATATGTTTGGTGGTACTGAAATGTTACGTGATATTTAATGTTACAAAATTATTTGATTGTATTTGTTTTTTGATATTTCATCAATTATGATAATAGGATGTCCGAAAAGATCATATTTGTGAATACTTAAAATTTTTTAATAAAACATTCTCGGATATTTATTCATATGAAATTTTTGGAACTTTTCAGACACCCTTTATCTAATAAATTATTAAAGACTTACCAACGACTTGTAAAAATCCAACTTGACTTATCATAGGATTAGTGTTAACTTGGCACATGTAGTATCCTCTGTCGTCCTGTTGAACTCCACTGATGTGCAATAGCCACGTATTTTGATTTTCATGAGACACCGTAAACCTTGGTATTTTAACTACCATGTGTTTGTGTACCGTCAATAGCATTTGCCTACCGACGTGCAACCATGCAACCTTGAAAGAAACAAACGAAATATTTTTTTTTATAATCTGTTGCATTTTTATATAAATATTGAGTTGCCAAAAATATTTTTTTCTTCTTGTTTTTTTTTTTGTATTCCAAATAAAAGGATTTTCAAAACGAAACGAGTTGATGTTACTACCCAATGTGATTTCATTTTTATAAAAATTTCTAATAAATTTCGTAAGAAAGTTTTAAAGTGAAATCATTCCATTTATTTGGTCTGGTGCATTAGCAGGGATGCAATCTGATGCAACCATGCATCTCATTAAACATTATTCTTATTTTATTCTCTTTCAAACGCTCATGTCTTCATTTTCTCATTCCTTTTTTCTTTTTTCATACTATCATTCTATTTCACACTCATGCACATTTTCAGTAGGTTCGATCTTTATTCATTTCTGACCCAAGATCGTTTGATAAAGAGAAACCATCAGGAACCGTTTGTTTGTCTTTTACCTAAACAAGCCTTCCGTCATTCAAGTACACTCAAATTGAAACTCATTTTCTCTCTCTCTCTCTCTCTTTCTCTATCTATCTCTCGCGTTCGCTTATCGTTTACACACATACACCTTCATACGATGGACGCATACTAAACAATGAACCCTACCAACACTGAACAACAAAGAGCGATCGGCCCTTAAGTCTGTTATAGTTTGTTACTTTCATGATGAAATGTTAAACTAAGTAACTTAAGTTAACTTATTCACATATGAATTATTAATACGTCAAATATAATTAACTACGTAAAATAAAAATTAGAACAAAAGAAATGTATAAAGTTATATGAAAAACCGATCATCGATAAAATTATTGTCATCCGTGTAACACTTCGTAAAATATACTTCAAGATCATAGATCATAGATTATCTATTTCATATTTATTTATTTTTTTCTTAGCATAAAGATATATAAAGTATTTTAATTATGTATAGATATATAAGACAGAGATCTGTAATACATTACATCACGATTACAATTCTACTCTAATTTTCTAACAAGAATGTCATATGTGTGTTAGAATTAATGTGAATCGCGGGATGGAAAGTGGCGCAAGAGTTTGAGAAGATAGAAATTGGAGAATGAATGTTGAAGAAGTTCTTTAAATAGACAGACATCAACTGACACTTTCTAACGAATAGTTAAGAGAGAAGATGGATGATAGGAAAGGACCCTAAGCACTTGGGGATCTTATAACGAAATTTCCTTTTGAAACCTCGAAAATTTCACACAACCTCATCAGAAGCTCTTGCGCTTTAGTTTCCATGCACTTTTGAAAGCTTCAAACATACGTCTGTGTTCGAAGATTCTCTTTCCCTTTTCCCCTCACCTCCTTTACCCCCTCAACCCCTATATTCTCACAGTGTCTGTCTTTCATTCCATCGTCTTACTTCTCTTCTCTTTTCTTCTCTTCTCTTCTCTTCTCTTCTCTTCTCTACTCTTCTCTTTTGCATGATGCTTCGCGAAAGAAAAACGACGATTTAACTTTCTAAAAGTTCCTATACTAGAGAGAGCTTAAAGTTTCTTGAGAGAAAGAAAGAGAGAGAGAGAGAGAGAGAGAGAGAGAGAGAGAGAGAGAGAGAGAGAGAGATAGTGAGAGTGATAGTAAGAGATAGATAGAGAAAGAGAAGACGAGATTACACTATCATCGCGAAAGTTTAACCGTTAAGGGTCTGAGCTTGTCTCACCGAATGACGATTTTCTGCAAGCGTCTTCGCAAACTGTGTCTCCATTTCTATCTTCTTTTGTTTATTTATTTATTTTTTATTTTTATTCACTTATATATATATATATATAAATTCATTGTCACATTGTTGGTTTCCAATGAACTTTGAAACTACTTAACCGATTTTAATGAAATTGTTTTTATTTTGTGTGTGTTTTTTTCAACTTAGTACATAAGATAGTTTTTATCGCGATTATTTTTATTGTTTATTGCTAATTTAAGGATTTATTATTTAAAGATTATCTAGGTCTCTAGAGTGTTTAAATATTCAATAGATCGCGTTGTATTTCAATTCAATTATTTCAATTTACATTTACATTTTCTACTTTTTCGTGTATTATTATTTCATATATTCCATTCTAATTTTGGTATTATTTTGTGTGCTGTTATAATTTACTGAATAGTTTAGAATTAGATTGAATCAATATTTTATAACAAAGCCACAGCAATTGTATATAATATATTACAAATCGATTTAGCACGTTGTCAAAAAATATTAATTAATAATTTTATACACATCGTGAATATTTTTCTAATGTAAAGAATACGAATTGAAAAAATAATTATGTCAAATATTCATAGGCAAGATAGAAAATGATTGAACAGATACAAGATACATCTATGCAATATTTATAACTATTAAACAATTACATTGAAAATTTATATACGTAAATAGTTATCTGTGTTTATTTACGGTAACATAATTTTTTTTTTTTTATTTGCCATACCGAATACGTTTCGTATACAACACAACAGTCAGATATTTGATTTTCCATGCAGGTATGTAAGTAATATTACATATACGTCAGTGGAGTCCGACTTTAAAAGGAAATAAATGACCTCCCGATAAAGCTTCGCGAGATGAAATAGATGTAGAGAACGATTTGGTCCAGAACCGATAGCACAGTGACATAAGCCGATTTGTCATCGCTTGTGACAAAGCCGCACGTTCCGGATAAATCCAATACGTCCTACTAGCGAGGCGTATTAAGGAAACAGCAAATTGTAGTGTCGAGTTTATCCGAATGTTCGAGTATCGATTGACGTTTTAGTCCTATCGCGATAAAAAGCGAAACAAGTTATTCTTTTTTTTTTTCCAAAACTTTCCCTCAGTTTTTTTTTCTTTACTTTACACTTTGTTTTATCATTTTATCACGGGGGAGGGGGTATTGTAATTATATTATACATGGTTTATTAGGTATTTTTAAAACATAGAAAACAAAAAGGAAATATGTTGGATACCTGTATAAAATCTTGCTTATTCGGAATACATTATATGAAGAATAATTTTAGATACACGAAACAATATATATTTTATATTGTTGGACATTGATGATTTATGAATTAAAGATCATATTAAATTCACGTCAAAATTGATTATACCGTTGTATCGTTAACAGTATCTAGAATCTAACCAAGGAATATTTATGAAAAAATTTGGAATTTTATTCGACAAACAAAATACCTCTTAAATACAGGTAAAATACATGTGTGCAGGAATTCAATTTGTTTAGTTCATCGATCATCGATGTTTACCGATATGAAGTAACTGTATTTTTACAGGGGAGGAAGTATGATTTAATATTATGATAAAGATGTGAATTTGAATATAATATCTATTTAGAAAAACCAATTAACGATTAACTTTCTATAGTTTACGGATTTATAGTTTTTCTTTTTCTTTTTTTTTTTTCTTAAAACACAGTTTAATGTCGTATATGAAAAGATTCGTCTTGAAGTCGTACGAAAATGATGATTTACGATGTAACAGGGAAATTGCCTAGTGAAAGAACGAAATATTTCGGAAGACGATAAATCATTCTCAAAACGATCGCGGATGTGTAGCGTAAGTACGTCCGATAGTGATATGGTGCACGGTATAAAGCGATTTGTCAATGATTTTGACAAAGCTGCACGGATGGGAGAGAACCGATATGACTTTTCCTATCTATGTTGCATTTCAAGGAGGTCACACTTCATTATCGGCTTATGCAATGATTCATTCTAAATAGTATATCGAAATTTTCAACGTACACGCGTATGAATTTATACAATTTTCAAGATACATGCGTATGTGTGTAGTTTTTTTTTTTGTACAAATTTTGAAAGAAAAAATAAATTAATTTTTTATGCCGATTGATTTAACATAACAAAAATAATTAATAAAAATAGAGTGAAGGTAGACGGTTTTCGGTTCGTACAATTTTGATTAATAGAGATTTGACAATTCTTGGGTGCGTTTGAAAGGTAGTAACATATCATAGAATTGATCACAATTTTTCTTATACTCTCTATTCGAATGTAACCTAGATTATTATTTTTTTTTTATTTGAGTGAAAGGAATGAAAAGATGACGGTCGTATAGTATCGAGCAACTTTGATAGAAATATAATACTAATATTATAGATATAGAATCGATGTTGAGAATAGAGGAAACAAGATGGCTTTAAGAAATTACCATTGGTATTCTCGCGAGATACTAGAGTAACAGAAGAGAGTAGTCCCCAGAAGGGAATGAAATTAAAGCTCAAAGCGGGCTACTACTCCTTATTGTGGAGAATCATGTTTGATGGGCCACCAAGAAAGCAGAAGGAGGATGAAAGAGAGGAACACTCGGTACTCTACGATTCTATATATATAGGTAGGTGTAGTATTATATTGGCCTTAAACGGTCTCAAGGAAAAGCTCCCGCCGGTTGCAAGCTCGATTGAAATCCCTGGCAGTGGTTCAAAGCCCGGCCTTAAACTGCTATGCGACGGTAATGCAAACTGCTTTTATATTAGGCGCGAAATACCGTCGCGATGAGGGCCAAGCCGTTTTTACGCTACAATAAGTTGCAATTAAAGTATTATGATTCTTTAGTTTTCTCTCTCTCTCTCTCTATTCATATAAATATATATATATATATATATATATATACCTACGTATTGTATAATATTATATTATATTTATCTATATATGTCCGGTATTAAAATCGTATGTAAATTTGTTAAGTAATTTTAATTTTTACACGAGATAACTCTGAAGGGTGTGTTTGTAATGGTATAATGTAAATTTTATTAATTTACAATTAATAATATTTTATTACATATTATATATTTTATTATTTACTTATTTTATTATTATTTTATTAATCAATTCAAACTAATTAAACAACTAGTCAAAAAATAACTAATAAACAACTATCAAAAAATAACTATGCATTTTCTTCTCCCCCCCCCCGCCTTCTTTTATTATTATTTATTTGTAGTTTTTTTTCCTTTTTCA